TGTGCCCATGGCCTGGCTGTGACAGGGGCTGTGCCTGCCCCAGAAAGGTCCATCAGACCCCTGGGGTCTCCCCCCACAGATGGTTCTGCGTGGCGCAGAGACGGAGGGCTGTGTGATTGTGTCTGCCGCGAAGGCACAGCTGCTGCAGTGCCAGCACCACCCCGCCTGGTACGGGGACACTCTGAAGCAGAAGACATCCTGGACATGTTTGCTGGATGGCATGCAGTACTTTGCCACGACAGAGAGCAGCCCCTCCGAGGGGGAGCATGGCCAGCTCTGGCTGGAGGTGAGTGTGTGGTGGGTGAGCTACATGGGGGACAGGCAGTGCTGTCAGTGCCCTTGCCAAGTCAGGGAAGATGGGGACAGCCAGCAGTGCCTCCTTGCCTCCCCAGGTGAAAAATATTGAGGAGCATCGTCAGCGGAGCCTGGACTCAGTGCAGGAGCTGATGGAGAGTGGGCAGGCAGTGGGGGGCATGGTCAGCACCACCACAGGTACTGCCCACAGCCCTGGCTGCTGTGCCTACCCCAGTCCCACTCAGGTTTGACCCCAAGGCTGGTAAGAGCAGAGAGTGCCTGTCCTGTCCCTGCGTGGCTCCAGGAGGTGGCTGATGCTCCAAGGCCTGCACTGTGCAGTCCCTGTGTGCTGGGATGTGGCACTCTGACTGTGGTCCCTCTGCCTGTCCCCAGACTGGAATCAGCCCTCGGAAGCCCAGCAGACCCAGCAGGTGCAGAGGATCATCTCTCGCTGCAGCTGCCGCATGTACTACATCAGCTACAGCCACGACATCGACCCTGAGCTGGCCACACAGATAAAGCCTCCTGATACCCCTGCCAACCAGGAGAAGGAGGATCTGCTGAAGAAGCAGGAGGGTGGGTGCATCCAGGCAGTGTGCCTTGGTGGGGTACAGCTCTGGGCTGACCCATGGGGACTCTAGGGGTGGTCTCTTCTAGCCCTACTGAGGTCAGAGGGCTGCGTACAGGAGGGGTTCCCAACATGTTTCTGCCCATGCTGAGCCCCCACTTGCCCTTTGTGTCCCTACAGGAGCTGTGGACACCTTCACCCTGATTCACCATGACCTGGAGATTTCCACCAACCCCGCACAGTATGCCATGATCCTCGACATAGTCAACAACCTGCTGCTGCACGTGGAGCCCAAACGCAAGGTACCCGTGGGGCTCCAGGTGTCCGTGCCACTCACTCACTGCACCCAGGCAGTCCTAACCTTGCCCTATTCCTGTGTCCAGGAGCACAGTGAGAAGAAGCAGCGGGTGCGTTTCCAGTTGGAAATCTCCAGCAACCCTGAGGAGCAGCGCAGCAGTATCCTACACCTGCAAGAGGCTGTGAGGCAGCACGTGGCCCAGATCCGGCAGCTGGAGAAGCAGATGTACTCCAACATGAAGGTGAGCCCACATCCCTGGCTCCTTAGGATCCTCACTCCAGGGCAGAGGGTGCTGAGGGTTGTCTGTCCTTCAGTCCTTGAAGTATGACAGCAAAAACGAGATCCTGCTCGACCTGAACCACCGGCTGCAGCAGCAGCTGAGCCAGGAAAAAGCTGACCTGCAGCTGGAGAGTGAGGAGCTGAACATACTGATCAGGTAGGACAAGTGGGAATGGCTTTAAACTGAGAGTAGGTTTGGATTGGATATTAGGGAGAAATTCTTCCCAGTGAGGCACTGGCACAGGTTGCCCAGAGAAGCTGTAGTTGCCCCATCCCTGGAAGTGTTCAAAGATAGGCTGGATGGGGCTTGGGGCAACCAGGGACAGTGGGAGGTGTCCAACACAAACCATTCTGATTGTATGATCTCAGCCTTCCCCAGCATTGTGTCCCCCCTAGGACTCCCACATCCCACTCTCCTCTGTGCTGCAGGTGCTTCAAGGACTTCCAGCTGCAGCGAGCCAACAAGATGGAGCTGCGAAAGCAGCCAGAGGACGTGAGCGTGGCACGGAGGACTGAGTTCTACTTCGCCCAGGCGCGCTGGCGCCTGACGGAGGAGGATGGGCAGCTGGGCATTGCTGAGCTGGAACTCCAGCGCTTCCTCTACAGCAAGGTGTGGAGTTGGACGGTACTCACAGCCCCTGAGCTGGGGATGGGGATGCTGGGAGCTGATGGCTTTGTCTGTGCAGGTCAACAAGTCTGATGACACGGCTGAGCATCTGCTGGAACTGGGCTGGGTGACCATGAACAACCTGCTGCCCAACGCTGTGTATAAGGCAAGTGGAAGCTGGGGGAGCAGCTCTGCATCCTGGGGACCCATGGGTGGCCTGGGCAGAGGGGCTTGTCCTCAGCCCAGCCACCCACCCTCTTCCCTGCAGGTGGTGCTGCGTCCCCAGAGCTCCTGCCAGTCCGGCCGGCAGCTGGCCCTGAGGATTTTCAGCAAGGTCCGGCCGCCCGTGGGAGGCATCTCCATCAAGGAGCATTTTGAGGTGCCAGGGCTGGGCTGGGATGTGCCAGGGTCTCTGTGGGGAACAAGCAGTGCATACCTGGCTCTGACATGTCTCTTTCCTGCAGGTGAACGTGGTGCCTCTAACCATCCAACTCACCCACCAGTTCTTCCACAGAATGATGGGTTTCTTCTTCCCTGGCCGTAATGTGGAGGAGGAGGAGGTGGGGGACGAGGAAGATAAGTCCAAGCTGGTGACAACAGGTGAGAGGCTCATGATCACCCTTCTCTCTGAATGTCCTTGAGCAGCTCTGGCTACACGTCCAGGATATGTTTCTGGGCAGCTGCTGTCCAGCTATGAGTTGAGAAACAGGGATTTGTGGTCTCCCCTGTGGAGAGGGAGATTGTGGGAGGGTTGGGGTCATGGCTAACCCCTGGCTGGAGACCACCACCACCTTGCACCCTGTTTGCCCCAGGGATCCCCGTGGTGAAGCCGCGGCAGCTGATTGGGGCCGATGACTCGCTGGGCCCAGGGAAGGGAGTTGCTCAGGGACTGAATCGAACATCAGGGGTCAGAAGATCATTCCGAAAAGCACCTGAGGTACCTCCTGCTGCTGTGAGGGGGGAATCTGCGAGAGCCCTGCTGTGGTGCCAGTCTGTTTTCCCTTAACTGCAGGGCTGGGTAGCCGTGTCCTCCCACACTTCCCTCCCACGCTTGTCTGCTTTCTCCTGCTTCCTCCCACCATGAGGATTTGCATCCTTACAACCAGGCGTCTGCACGCTTGATGTGATCCCTGTGTCTCATTTTTCCAACATCGTGCCAGAGCAGCTCTCACCTCTCCCTGATGAAGCAATTCTGCAGTCTAGTGCCCAGCTATTCCTTCCCTGCTGGTTCCTGGCTGTGTCCCTTCTCCTTCCCTTCTGCTCATGGCTTCTGCTCTGTCCCCAGCATCCGGTGGATGATATTGACAAGATGAAGGAGCGTGCAGCCATGAACAACTCCTTCATCTACATCAAGATCCCGCAGGTGCCACTCTGTGTCAGCTACAAGGTGTGAGACCAGTGGGACAGGGCATGCTTGAGGTGGTCTGGGCCATTGTCCCCACACTGCCTGACACCTCTGTCACACAGGGGGAGAAGAACAGCGTGGACTGGGGCGACCTGAACCTGGTGCTGCCATGCCTGGAGTACCACAACAACACATGGACATGGCTGGACTTTGCCATGGCGGTGAAGAGGGACAGCCGAAAAGCCTTGGTGGCACAGGTACGTGGGACCACATCCCTCTTCCCGCTCCAGAGGCTGCCAGAGCTGCTCTGCCCAGGATGGAGATGGTAACCCCAGGGTGGGTGGCACATTCCCCAGAGTAGGAGGCAGCTGCACTGGCTCAGCAGCTCAGGCTGTGACCCATTCCAAGGGTGCAGGGTGTGGCCACGGGGGTTACTGAGCCCCCTGACTCCTGGGACAGGTGATCAAGGAGAAGCTGCGCCTGAAGCCGGCAGCAGGCGCGGAGGCCCGGGGGAAGCTGGAGAACAAACCCGATGGGACCATCCAGCAGCAGGAGGATGAGAAGGCCCGACTGCTCATCGGGCTGAGCGTGGGCGAGAAGAACCCCAGCAAGAAGTCAATCTTTGGCAGGCGCAAATGATGGCAGCACCCGGCAGGCCGGGAAGGGACTTGGGGTGCCCCATGCACCCCCCTTGGGGAGTCACCCTGAAGGCAGAGAGGGGGCTGTGCTGCTCGGCGGTGCCCGAGGAGGGCTCAGCCACGTGCAGGCCCTCAATAGCCCCGTTGCTGTGGGGCAGGGGTGCAGCAGCGTGGGAATGTGGGGCACAGGGTGCTCCAGGGCTGCTTTGTGGGGTGCAGAACCCTCATGCCAAGGGCTCCTGTGAGCTTCTCCCCCTCCCTGCTGTGTGGGTGCTGGGCCCAGCCCCTGGGCCTGGTGAAGCAGCAGGATCACTACAGGCTGGGAAAAAGGGGAATGGGAGAGAGTTTAAATAAAAAGTTTTTAATTTGGAACAGGCTTGGGCCAGTGGCTTGTTTCTTGCCTCACCCCGCAGTGCTGGCCCTCCTGCTGCACCCTGCAGTCCCACCTCAGCCCAGCAGCCCCCCTTCCTTGGGGGCTTAACCCTGCCCTTCTCCAGCAGCTGCTCAGGGCACCCGTTTGGGGCTCAGGGCACCCCTGCATGGCCCTGGGCTGAGCCTGTGCAGTTATCCCCTGCAATCCTCCCCATGAGCCCAGGGCCATGCCGGGGCTCGGCAGGGGCTGCAGCATCCCCTCAGGGCTGCAGCACGTGGGGCGCAAAGAGAGAAGGAAAGGTTGAAGGGGGAGCCCCAGAGTGTGTAAGGAGGGGGTCCCGGAGAGGGGCTGGGATCAGTGCCGGGGGGTGCTGGGGTGGCATCAGTCACGGGTGGGTGAGCAACCCCCAAGTGTGTAGAGAGGCTCCCGGATGGGGGGAGCTCGATCACGGGTGGGTGTCGCGGTGCAAGGGGCAGCCCCTCGGCCGAGCCCCGGGGCTGGGGGTGGTCGCGGCGGGCGGGGCGGGGCGGGGCGGCGGGGTTATGTAAGGCGGCGATTACCGGGGAGCGGACCCGGGGCGCGGCCGGGCGGCGCCGCGATGGGAGCGACGAGCAGCGGCCCCGGCCCGGCCCCGGCTCCGGTGCGGCCCCCCCAGGTGCGTGCGGCGGCATCAGCCCCGGGGATCCCCCTGGGCATCTCCCGCCCCGGGTTCCCCCCGCTGACGCCGTCCCCGCTTCCGCAGGGCCGCGCCGTGGGGTCGTGGGTGCGGGCGCTGCTGAGCCGAGCAGGGTCGGTGCCGGTATCGGTACCGGTGCCGGTACCGGGGCTCGCCTTGGCCTCGCGGGGCCCCGCCGAGGAGCCGCCGCTGCCCGGGTGGCCGCTGCCGCAGCTCGTCTCGTTGTTCCTGCCGGAGTTCCCCGTCCGCCCCTCCGCCCGCCAGCAGCAGCTCAAGGTGCCGTCCCGGAGCCCCCGCCCTCCTGAACGGGACCCCGGTGCATCCGAACGGGGCCCCCGATCGTCCTCCCCCGCGGTGTCCCGCCCTCCATCCCGCCCCGGCAGCCCCGGGCGCCCTAACGGGTCCCCTCGCACCCTGTACCGGTGTCCCTGCTCGTCCTACCGGGGTTCCTGCACGTCCCTACCGGGGTCCCCCAGCGCCCTGAGCATCCTCCCGCGCCGTCCGTGCATCCCGTGCCGCCATCCCGGCATCGCAGGCTGCCTTAACGAGCTCTCCTCGCACGCTCTGCCGGGTCCCTGCGCATCCTACCGGCGTCCCCGGCTGTTCCACCGAGTCCCCTTCTATCCCCGCCGGGTGCCCGTGTCAGGTCTCGGTGTGTTCTACCGGAGCTCCTCGGCACCCCACCGAGGTGCCGCGTGTACTCCCGGGGGTCCTGTGCACTATGTCAAAATCCACCGCTGCCGCCTCGGGGTCCCCGTGTTCCAGTCCCCCGTGTCCCTGTGCCCCATACTGGGTCCCCATAAATCCTGCTGGGGTTCCTATTGGGTCCTCTAGGTCCCCATGTGTCCCCAGCATCTGCTTTGGGTGCTGTGTGCCCTTCACCCCATGCAGGACCCCCAGCCTGAGCACCCCAATCCATCTCCATGGCGTGCTCAGCCCGTTCCTCCCCTCAGATCCTGGGCTTCGTGGCCAAAGGCTCCTTCGGGACCATCCTCAAAGTGCTGGACTGTGGGCGGGAGAAGATCTGTGCCGTGAAGGTGGGTGCTGACCCCTGGGGCCCATGGGTGCCCCCACCTGCCCTTGTCCCCCACCTTGACAGTGCCTCGCCCCCCAGGTTGTGCCCAAAGTGGAGGTGCTGCGCCGTGACACCCTTAAACAGTGCAAAGAAGAAGTCAGCATCCAGGTGAGGGGGGCCCAGGAGGGACCCCAGCCCGTGAAGGGGTTTAGGGGGTGGCCACGGGGACATCAGGAGGCGGCGGGGTGCTGCGGATGGAAGCCGGCAGAAGCGGGGTCCCCAGCCCCTGGTGGCCTCCTACCCGCTCACTCTTTGTGCTTTTGTGTCCCCAGAGACAGGTCAGGCACCCGTTTGTCCACGGGCTGGGGGACAGCTGGCAGGGCCAGCGCCACCTCTTCATCAGTGAGTGACCATCTGCCCGCGGGCTCGCTGCGGCCCCCCCTGCCCGCGCACGTGTCCCCGCTGCCCGCACACGTGTCCCCGCACACGCGCGCTCCCCCCAGCGCCCCGTGGGGATCCGGGAGCTCTGGCTGCCGGCTCCCGGCCATCGGATGGGGGACAGGGATGGGGACAAGCCACAGCGGGGCAGGGACCAGTGTGGGAGTGAACAAAGCACCCCAGCGCTGGTGCCTGTCTGGCCCTAATGGCTGTGTCACCTCAGCCCCTGCAGTTTGCGTGTTCCCGGTGCCTGTGTCACGTCGCTTTGGCACCTCATGTGATCCCTGGTGTTTGTGTGTTCCCAGTGCCCACGGGGCTCTGGGGCTGATGTCACCGTGCTACTCGCATGTTCCCATGCCACCTCACTCGTGCCTATGTCACCTTGGTAACGTGGTGCCCATATTGCCCTGGTGCTTGTGCCACCTTGGTGTCAGTGTGGTCCAGGTGCTTGTCCCACCTTGCTGCCTTTATAACCCCAGTGCGTGGCCCCAGTGACCCCTCTGCACCCCCGTGCCACCCCAGTGTCCCTCGTGCCAGCCCAGTGGGTCAGTAAGGCATATCCCCTGTCCCGGCAGTGTGCACCTACTGCAGCACCGGGGACCTGCACGCGCTGTGGCGCACGGCCGGCTGCTTGGCTGAGGCCACCGTCCGCCTGTTCGCCGCCGAGCTGGTGCTGGTGCTGGGTGAGTGACCCTCCACACTGGGGACAGTCCCCGCCACTGGAGACCTGTGGGCAGGGTCAGCCACCCCCAAGGGTGGCAGTGGGCACTGTGGTGGGAGGGGACACACGGCACTGATGGCTCTGTCTTGTCCCCAGTGTACCTCCACGACCTTGGCATCATGCACAGAGATGTCAAGGTGGGTGGCAGTGGGGCTGGGGGCTGGAGGATGGGGTGGGGGGTGGGGGTGTCTTTGAATCCCCAGCATGGAGAGGCCACCTCAGTGCCTGTCTCATTTCAGATGGAGAATATCCTCCTGGATGAGAGAGGTAAGAGCCTGGTGGGAGCACCTTGGGGACACCCTGTCAATGGGGACACGTTCTCTACACGTGTCCCACATGGTGTCTGACCCCACAGGGCACCTCAAGCTCACTGACTTTGGCCTCTCCCGGTACCTGCAGTGGGGTGAGCGAGCCCACACAATCTGTGGCACCCTACAGTACATGGGTAAGGATGGGGCCGTGCTGGGGGGGGCTGTGCTGGGGGGCACAGACCCCCATGCACTCACCCACTCTCCCCACAGCCCCAGAGGTGCTGAGCGGGGGGCCCTACAGCCATGCAGCTGACTGGTGGTCCTTGGGAGTCTTGCTCTTTGCCCTGGCCAGTGGGGAGGTAAGGACCACAGGGTAGGGGGACAGGGACACCTCGGGGAGACCCTGAATTCACTCTATGCTCCCCCAGTTCCCTGTGGCTCCAGCGGGGGACCATGTGGCCATGCTGGAACGTGTCAAACAGAGCAGCTACAAGAGCCCACCTGAGTTCAGCCCTGAGCTGGCCCGGCTGCTCGCCGAGGTAACCCTCCTGCCTGGATTTTGGGCTCCCCCCCTGGCCCCTGGGCTGGATGCTGGGATTTCCATTGTCACTGTCCCCTCTCTGTCCACAGCTGCTGTGCCACAACCCCCTGTACCGCCTGCGCTACCTCCACCACTTCCAGGGCCACCCCTTCTTCCGCGGGGTGGCCTTCGACGCTGACCTGCTGCAGAAGGACCCGGTGGTGGTCGCAGTGGCCCCGCGACCCCCCGAGCAGCCCCCACCCGACCCCGCCACTTTCGCCGACTTTGACTACGACCTCACCGCCTCCCCGGACCGGCCCTGGCCTGGCTGAGCCACCACGGCTGGGACCCTCGGCATCGCTCAGGGACGTCCCCCTACCCCGGCAGCGGCTCGGACCCTGCTGGGTTACCCGGGTACCCCCCAGTCTCATCGCCGGGTACCTCAACTCTGTACCTCTCCCCGCGGGAGCAATAAACCCGAGAGCCGCGGGCACTGCTGCCCTGACTCGTGGTGGGGAAAGCGGGATTGCGGCAGGTCTGGGGGGCCGTGTGGGGGAGTTCCCCCGGCGCAGGCGGTGCGGGAGGAGCCGGCTCCGCCTGCCCATGCACGGGTCCGTCCGTCTGTCTGTCCATCCCCCGGCGCAGGCGGTGCGGGAGGAGCCGGCTCCGCCTGCCCATGCACGGGTCCGTCCGTCTGTCTGTCCATCCCCCGGAGCAGGCGGTGCGGGAGGAGCCGGCTCCGCCTGCCCATGCACGGGTCCGTCCGTCTGTCTGTCCATCCCCCGGCGCTGCGCAGCACGGAAGGGGCGTGGCCAATGGGTCAAGCCACGCCCACCCCGCTCACCGCCGGCCGTGGCCCCGCCCCAACGGTGGCCCCGCGGGTGACGCGCGCGCGGCGCAGCCAATCAGAGCCGCGCGTGGTTTTCAAACCGGCGGCGCGCGGGCGGCGGCGGGGCCGGGACCCAGGGCCGAGACCGACCCGAACCCCAGCCCTAACCCCAACCCGGCGGGCCCGGAGCCCAGACTGACACCGAGAGCTACCGCAGCCCTAGTCCAGACCGAGACGAAGACCGGCAGCATTCCTGGGCCATGCAGCGCGCCAACACCCCCGCCGTCAGTGCTGGGTTTGAGTGTACCGGTGGGGCGGCGGGGCCAGCCCCGGAGAGGTTCCTCGGGGGGGCGGCGGGTCCGGTGCGGCTCCCGGTATCTGTGTGTGTGTGTGTGTGTGTGGCGGAGCTGCCGCTGACCCCCCCGGTTTCCCCGGCAGGCGCAGAAGCGGCCCCGGCGCACCCCGCTGCAGGAGCTGCAGCTGCAGCCGGGCGCCGTCCGGACCAGCCTGACCCCGCTGCTCCGCCGGCTGCGGCTCAAGGTCAGCGTGCGGGAATAACGGGCAGGGCGGGGGAGCTGCGGTGTACCGGAACCGGGAATGTTGGGGGGAGGTAGATGGTGCTGGCGCAATGGGAGGCCGGGCGTATTTTCTGCGCTGGGAAAACGAGTAGGCTGGGGCAAACGGCTGCGGGGTGCAGGGAGAAAGGGCAGGGCTGGCCTGACCTTCCTTTCCCCCTAAAACGTCCTATAGGACCATGACTGCGCCACCCCGGTGTCCAGCAGCGTCACCGCGGTGCCCTGCAGCCCAGGACCACCGCGAAGTGCTACCCTGGGCCCCCCCAGCAGCACCATCCCAATGCCTTGCACACTGGAGCCCCCCAGCAGCACCGCTTTGGAGTCCCCCAGGACCTCTACCCGGGACCTCAGGACTCCCAGTCTTAAGCCTGGTGTTTCTGAGGCCCCCAGCAATGCCACTCTTATTCCTGGTGCCTTGGCGACCTCCAGCAGCACCAGCCCAGAGGCCCCTGGTAGTCCTATCCCAGTGTCCAGCACACCAGAGGTCCCTGACAACACTGTGCCAGCCCCTCTGTGCAGCCCAGTTCTGGGGCCCAGCACTCAAGAGCCCTCCAGCAGCATCGCCCCAGCCTCTGAGGGCAGCTCCATCCCAGTGCCCAGCACCTCTGAGCCCCCCAGCAGTACTGTCCCAGCCTCTGAGGGCAGCTCCATCCCAGTGCCCAGCACCTCTGAGCCCCCCAGCAGTACTGTCCCAGTCTCTGTGTGCAGCTCCATCCCCGTGCCCAGCACCTCTGAGCCCCCCAGCAGTACTGTCCCAGTCTCTGTGTGCAGCTCCATCCCCGTGCCCAGCACCTCTGAGCCCCCCAGCAGTACTGTCCCAGTCTCTGTGTGCAGCTCCATCCCAGTGCCCAGCACCCCAGAGTGCCCTGGCAACACTGTGCCAGTCCCCCTGCACAGCCCTATCCTGGTGCCCACCACCCCAGAGCCCTCCAGCAGCACCGTGCCAGTCCCCCTGTGCAGCTCCATCCTAGACTCCAGCACCTCAGAGTGCCCTGGCAACACTGTGCCAGTCACACTGTGCAGCTCCATCCGGGTGCCCAGCACCTTGGAGTCCCCTGGCAGCACCATGTGCAGCCTTGTCCTGGAGCCATGCATGCTGGAATCCCCTGGCAGCACCACCCCAGGGCCCCCCAACATTATTAGCTCAGGGTGTTGCAACCCAAACTCTCCAAGCAGCTCTGCTTTACCTCCCTGCAGCTCTGGATCCCCCGGCAATGCCAGCACAGCCTCCTGTACCCCAGGGCCTCCTGGCACCAGCTCCACTCCACAGAAAGCTCCTTTCCAATGGTGGCGAGCAGCACCTCCAGAATTTTCCTGCAGCCTTGTGGCCTCCGAGCCCCCATCTGCAGATGGGAGTGCTGATTCTCTGCATTGCCAAGGCGCTCCTGAGGGAGCTGAGTTCCCTGCCCCTGTCCCCCCAGAACAGAGCACACCCAGCCTCCCTCCCATCAATGCAAGTGGGTTGGAGCCTGTTGGGTCAGAAGCCACTGTCACCCCTGCCAGCTTGCCTGAAACAACCCTGGGTGCTGTGTCCTGGGTGTTGCCACTCATGTGGCTAGAGAAGACCCTCAACAACTCCTTCCTGATGGAATCTGTGTGGAACAGCCTGCCCCTCCAAAAGCCACAGCAGGATGCCAGCAGCAGTGACACCTCTGTGCCCACTGTGGTCACTGGCACCAGCACGACCCCTGTGCCCACCGTGGCCACAGGCACCAGCACAACCCCTGTGCCCACGGTGGTCACTGGCACCAGCACAACCCCTGTGCCCACTGTGGTCACTGGCACCAGCATGACCCCTGTGCCCACCGTGGCCACAGGCACCAGCACAACCCCAGTGCTCTCCGTGGCCACAGGCACCAGCACAACCCCAGTGCTCTCCGTGGCCACTGGCACCTTCATGACACCTCGGGACATGTGGGAGAGGAGCATGAACACATCCAGGGGAATCGTCCCCTGTGCCAAGGACAGTGCTGTGGAAACAGACTCCCTGCTCTGGCAGTGAGTATGACGACATGCCCCCCTGCATGAGGCTGTGGTACCTGTGGGCTGTCCTTGCCCTAAGCCCCTCTTTGTCCCCAGCTGTCCCCGGGAGCAGCTGAAGACCCTGCCACGGGCAGAACTGGAGGGGAGGCTGGAGAGCACCCTCATCATCATCGAAGCCCTCTCGCTGCAGCTGCGTGACTGGCAGGAGAGCCGGCGGCCGCGGCCTGGCGTGGGGCCAGCCAAGCAGAGGGACGCGCTCACACAGACAGACACCACCCACCCCGAAGGGGTAAGAGTCCTCTCCAAGGCGATGCCACCCTGTCCCCCGCAGCCTCGGTGCTGTGACGGTGTCCTTGTGCCACTGGCAAGACAGTGACCCCGTCTGGGTTGGTGGAGTGGAAGTAAAGCGCGGCTGCTGCATCACGGCCTTACGCGCCCGGTGCTGCATTGTCACGCCCGGATCAACCCGCCGAGTCTGCTGGATTTGAACCCCTGTGGGGGGAAACATCCCTGGTGCACGTGGTGGGAGAAGGGGAGGTGTCATGGCTGACCAGCTCTCGCTGGCCCCAGGGTGGAGCGGGGCTGGTGTGAAACTCTGGTGGATGCACTTGGAGGAAGAGATCTACTGGCAGCTCTGCCTTGAGCTGCGGAGGGAAACAGAGGCTGTGCAGTGGCAGCGGGGAGTGGAGCGGGATCTGCAGCTGGAGCTGGGTGCCTGGTGGCTGTCACTGGCGATGAGTGTGCCAGGTCTCAGCCCCACAGGGCACATGCATGTGCCTGGTGCTGCCTGTGCCAGCTGCCATAACACCAGTGTCCTTGTCCCTTCTCCAGAACACCTGGAGCAGCCAGAGCCTCCTGTTCCGGGGCCTTGCGGATGCTGCTTTTCGGAGCTTGCAGGATGAGCAGGGAGCCCTCATGCAGGAGGTGAGCTCCTACATATCCCTCTGCTTCCCCTTTCCCCTGGTTTTGGGAGACCTGTTGGACACACAGCAGCTGTACCTGGTGCCTCACGGTGCTGTTGCCTCCTGCAGCAGGAACAGGAGAGGACCCTGGTGTCGCAGTGCCAGGCTGTGCTCGAGCACTGCAAGGTGCAGAGCTGCCTGGAAGAGCGGGATGCCATCAGGCAGCGAGTAGATGAAGCCCTACAAGCCAAGGATCAGGTAAGGAGGCAGCTGTTGTGGGATCGAAGCGGTCTCAGCTGTCCTCATGCCTTTGGTGGGGCATCCTGCATCTCTACCCATCTCTGGGGATGAGGCTCTCCCTGGCATCCCAGGGGAAGAAAATCCCAGTGTGGAAGGCAAGAAGTGCTGTGTGATGGAGCTCCCTGGATGTTTTTTTGGTGTGGGCTGTGTCCCCCCCGGGAGCAGGAGTTCTGATGCAGGGATGGCTCCTGGGAGGTTCCCATTGTGCGACAGCATGGCTGGAGCAGTGTCCTCTCCTCTGCAGGGATATCTCTTCCTGGAGGCTTTCTGTGCCCATGCCAGTGCCCAGATCAGTGCCCGTGACCAGAGCCTGGCCTCCCAGCAAGAGCTGAGCACGCTGCTGGCCCATGCCATCAGCCTGCAGGTACTGAGAGTAGTACCCCACACTGGATCAGGGGCTGGAAGGGCAGGCCATGTCCTGAGCTTGGGTGATGCTCTGCAATGGTCTTGGGTGCACCAGAGGTTTCCTGGTGCTGCTGTTGGGAATCTGTTGCAAATTTGGCCTCAGGGCTGGTACTTGCCTCCCTTCATGGCCATTGCACGTGGCTTTTCCACCACAGTGCTGACTCATCCCTCCTACCCTACAGGCATCCCTGTCTGCCGAAGCGCAGTCTTTCCGGGAATTCTTAGATGTCACCTTTGAAAATCTGGAGAAGGAAAGGAGAGCCCTGGATGAGGAGGTGAGGGGTGTCCCGTGGGGGCTCAGCCCCTCGCTGCCCTGCCAGCGCCATGACCTGTCACTGGTCACACAGCAGGACAGTGCCACCAGTGCCACACTGAGCTCTGCCCGCTGCTGTGTCCCTTCCCAGCGGGAGCAGACGAGGGCCCTGGTGTCCCAGTCCCATGCCCTGTTGGAGCGTGTGCCCAGCAAGCTGCAGAGCTGCCTGGAGGAGCTGGCTGCCACACGGAAACGAGCAGAGGAAGCTCTTCAAGCCAAGGAGGAGGTACAGGGGTGCCTCCTCTCAGTGCTAGGAGGTGTTTGAGGCATGGGGTGGTTTGGGGCACCCCTTGGTGAGAAAATATCCCCATGGGGAGGAGAACCCCAGAGCAAGCACCGTGTCTCTGCAGGCATCCTGCCAGCTGGAGAAGACCTTGGTGACCCTGCAGGACACAGAGGCTCAGCTGCAGCAGCTGACGGTGGCCAACTCGCGCCTGGGCAAAGGTAGGGGTGGGCAACGTGGATGGGAGCTGCCCCATCCCCACTGCCCCTGTCCCTCCTGTCTGACAGCTCTGTCCCTTGCAGACCTGAGCTCCGTGATGATAAATCTGGCCAGCATGGAGCAGGAGCGGGATGCGCTGCAGCAGGAGAACGAGAAGCAGTGGGAGGAGATGGCCCAGTGGGTTTGAGCCCTGATGTCCTGAGCCTCATCCCACCTCTGCCCCCCAAAACACAGCACCCCCTGATTCCATCCCATCCCCTCAGGCTGGCAGAGGAGAGGAACTCCCTGCAGCAGGAGTGCAAGGAGCTGTGCCAGGAGCTGCGGGAGGCCATCGAGTTCCGGGAGGTAGGAGCTGCCTGACCTTGCCTGCGCCATCACGCGCTGCCGGTCACGGCCTCTCTGGGAAGGCTGGCAGATGGCCAGGAGCAAGATTAGTCCCCCTACAGAGGGGGGATGAGCTTGTGAGGGCGGTTGACATCCCGCACGTAGCGCAGCTTTTCATCCTGCCCGGCAGGGATTCCCAGGCTGGGGGCTGGGCAGCTCTTGGAGATAATTTTCTTGGAGATAAATTTTTCCCTGAAGGCACGGAGCTGTCTCTCAGCCTGTCCTGTGTCCCCAGTAAACTGGTTTGTAGGGTTTGGGCTGCTGGGATAAAGCCGCCCCTGGTTAGAAACAGCACCCTGAGGCATGGGAGTGTCTGTGCTGGGGGTCCCAATGAGACCCCTTGGGTCTCTGCTTGGCTGGCCACAGCTGTGTCCCCCCACCCTCTTACAGTTCCTGGATCAGGAGAACCAAATGTGCCGCACTCAGCTGCTGGAGGTGGAGGCCAGACTGAACTCCACGCTGGCCACGCTGCAGGAGCGTGTCCTGCAGCACGAGGAGCTGATGGAGTCCCACCAACACCTGCGGTACTGCCCCTCTCACCAGCTCCACTCAAACCCTCTATTTTTGTGAAATCAAGCCCTTCCTGGGGTGTCAGAGGGGACATTTTGATCATGGTCACTGCTGCTCCAGCCAAATGTGGTGGTCCAGGTGGGTGGGAGTGGCTGGGGGGGGGGGGGGGGGTTTCCCC